TGAGATCAGAGGTAAAGGCGTTAGTCTATGCTCCCTCAGCCCCTTCCTCTCCCTACAGAAGGGAATGGAAAGAAAAGGAAGGCTACATTTCCCACACCCTCTAGGTGAGAGAACCTGTCAGGGAGCTGTGGTTTCCCTGACTGCACCAAGCTGGATTCTGAGTGACCATCTGGGATTCAGTGAGGTCCTTAACTGTGTGTCTCTAGGAGGAACTAAGAGAGATGCAGATTAGGACAAGTGTTTGGGACAGTAGACACAGGGAGATGGGTGAACTTGTACCCATCCAAGGAGATGGTGGTGGGACAGAGACAGAACTGGCGCTGTCCCCTTCCCTCCAATGCCCAGAGACTCCTCCCAAGTGGCGCTAGAAGTTCCCCCACCAGCCCATATAGCACTACCTGGTAGAAATGTTTGTCTAGAGCTGTTTCACTTAATCTAACTGCTTGGAAGAGTGTATGTGAGAGAGATTTTAAAAGAAATCTGATTAGTCCCAGGGGAGGGGGTGTCACCAAGGGAAGAACACTCAGGGGTCTGGGACCATAGCTGCCAGCTCTTTTCTCCACAGCCTCATGTATTAGAGGGTTGCCACGAAGGGCTTGGATAGGTTGCTGTCTTCACTCTAAATATCCCAGACCATAGAACGTGGGCAAGTTCTCAGACTCGAGGTAAATCTATGTCAAAGGTAGAGATGCTGAGAGAAGGATGGGTCCTTAGGAAGCAAAACTCGTGTGCAGAGGCCAGTGGCATCTCTGTTACTCCCGCTCAGCAGCTGGCAGGGGTCTGTCTGTCATGTGTCTGTGGGGGTGGGAGGTGGGGTCTAATCACAGCCTGGAGGTAGAAAGAATGGCTCAAGCTGGGGACCCTGTGCCTCTAAACCACAGGGCAAATAACTAATAAGTAACACTGTTCCAACCTGGAGAGGAGCTCAGAGGCAAGGAAAAAGATTCCAGCAACAGGGGTGGGGCTCAGGGAAGCAGCACTTCCCTGAGATGCAGAGCAGCTGTCCAGGTAAGGGGCGAGGGTGTGAGGTACTCAGCAGCTAAAGAAAAAGCAGAGGCTACTCCTTTCTGAGGTCTGCAGGCCTGGGAAGAGAAGGAGGTAAAAATAGCTCTGCGCCTTGGCAGACCTAATAGGGAAGATTGGGGGCGGCAGCATTTATGGTAGTCAGGCTGAGGGGTAGGATGCTTGGGTGGCCAGGCAGAGAGAGAGAGAGAGAGAGATTTGGAGAAAGGCCTCCTGGGAGAATGTGAGTTTTCCAGAGTGGGAACAGGGGAGTGGATACTGTATTCCCCGCTGCAGATGTGGGAGGTGATGATGTGGCAACGGGGGCAGGGTAGAAGGGAGAATGAAAGGCCAGGAAGGCCCCAGCTGTGGGATCAGGCCATCTGCCCCCCCATACCTTTTTCCTGGGGGGATAAAGAAGAGAATCCCTTGTGTAGCCTCACCCCATATTCAAGGAACTGTTAGACATAATGATTCCACAGGTTAAGTTTGTATTTGATCCTCCTGGCTCCCCCATGAAATTTAGCACCTCCCACCCCAGGATATCAGAGCCCTCACCTTGAACCCACTTCTGAGTCATTACTGTCCTCTGGCATTTCCCTATCCCCTAACAAAAACTAGCAGTTTGGCATCCCATCCTATCAGGGTGATACCTAACTAGGCAACATCTAGTGAAGGAGAAGAACGAAATCTTCTAGTAGCTAAGGGTCAGTGGACTGAGAACTGACTGCTGGGAAGATCAGGCAGATCCTGGGCACTGTACAAACGGGAGGGGTAGTGATCATTAAAGATTCGGTTCTTCCAGATAACGACTTGGATATTACTAGTGTTCTTTTAGAATGCAGAAAAGGGGGCTAAAATGGAAAGAAACACTTTCTGGAGCAGTTGTGATGAGACATGATCTCCACAAGGACCCTTCGGACCTGCTCCAAGCGCTTGATGATAGGACCAGGAAGCATTTAAGGGATTAAGGACTTTTAGGCTTTAAAAACAAGGGCACCAAGGCTGGAATGAGGGCTTGCTGGCTTTTCCTCCCCAAATCCTAACCTAACCCATATAGCTCTTTACTGGACTCAAGGCAAATGAGGGCTCTCTGTTCCAGAACTCCGAACTTTTGTTCCCAAATATTCCAATGTGAGGCTCTTGCCCCTCTCAGTCTCTGAGCCTAGCGGCCATGGAAAGAGTGCTTACCACATCCTTCCTCCGAAACGCTGAGATTTTCCTGGTCATTGGATCCAAAGCAGGGAGGATACTATTAGGGGTAATCCTAAGACTAAAGGAAATAATACTCCTCCCTCTGATTTTTTTTTTTTAAATAAGTCTGACTATTGTAAAGGTCAAAATCAAAAAGGGATGCAATGGCACAAAATAAGCTACTGATATAGAGAAGTGAGAGGATATTGTTGCTAGGCAACCAACCTCAGAGATGAGTAGTGGTTTGTTCCATTTCACTGAAGCATACCATTGTGCATGTTTCATTATTCTGCCATTACAGATTTTTTTTGAGCTGGAAGATGCTTCAGAGATAATCAGCTCAAGCTCCTTCATTCTATAGCTAGGGAAGTGGAGGCCCAAAGAGGGGAACTTACTTGCCTATTGTCACTCAAATCAGTGGGGGTCAAAGCTGGGACTAGAACCCAGGTGTACCCCTTCTTCTGCTAAATTCTCTGCTCCCCACTTCCTCCCTCCATTCCCGGGCTCTGCGAAGAAACCAGGGCGGAGGTTATTCCAACAGTGGGTTTGTTCTGGCTCCTTCATTCTCTAAGGGGGATAGTTGCACCATCCTGGCACTTGGGCTGCTGTCTGAGTACATGTGTGCATGTGCATGTGTGTGTACACGTGAGGGTGCAATCAACATTACTAAGAGTGGCTAAGGTTGGTGGCCATTAGTTGCTTAGCCTCCTAGTACTGAAGCAGAGGCAATGGCCAATGACAAAGGACCAATGACAGTGAGGGAGGAGGGAGGGGTACAGAGAGTAAGGCATAGAGCTCCCTGGCCGGTATGGGTATCCCCTGGCATAAGCTCTGCAGCTGGCTATGAGAGGACCATGTTGACTTTCTCCTTGGCCTTCCTTCTCCTTATACTTCACAGGGAAGGTTGGCACCTGCTACGTTATGTTTTTGTGGCTGCAGGCTTTTACCCACCACTGCTATCATTGGAGTCTGGTAGTGCCCCTAACTATCTCTCTCCCTGACTTCTCATGATGGTCCAAGACAAGAGTGGCAGCTCAGCCCCTCAGGAGGGAAAATGGGAGCTGCCGCTAGGTCTTCCAGGATGCAAGCCCAGCTGTCATAAAAAGAGCTTGGCTTTTGTTCCTGATTTCTCTGTGCATCTTGGTGTCTGCTATCCCAGGCATGTGTAGGGGGAGGAGTGGCAAGGAAGGCAAGAGGTGGGGACATGGCCAAAGGGAAACAACCAGGATGTTCCTCTTCCATGCCTCTACCTCTCCTTATCCAGGGCGGCACCAAGTGCCCACCCTGCCCTGGGAAAATAATGAGAACTAGGACTCTGAAGACAGTAGAGTTGTTCACCTACTTGCCTTCTTTTTCACTTCTCAGAGCCTCTCCGGCTAGAGTCAGTAACTGACCTCTTAGAGAGCTCCTTCTACGTTGCCAGCAGCCTCTTACTCCCTCACTCCAGCCCTCAACAGCATCATCCCACGACTATGGCTGGGTAGGGACAGAAGGCAGGAGGCTAAGGATGGGAGTGGGGAAGATTCTAGAGGGAAGAAGAGAGGAGCTCTGTTTAAACTGTTTATTAAACACAGGCCTGGGTTTGTCACACTTTCATTCCTGGGGCCTTCTTGATGAAGCATATAAAATATGGTTCCTTTCCAGCCTGATGCATGCCATATTCCCTTCCCCCTACTCACCAACTCCAATTCTGCATGCCCACTAAGGCCTCTTTCTCTCAACAACATCCGCACCCATCTCAAGCCCCATTTACACCCCTTTTCCTCATCTTAGCCCAAGAAGAAGCTGAAAGCACCCTCTGACCTGGCCACACCCAAGATCGTGCCTTTTGACCTTCTGCCTGAGACTGAGCCCATTGACCTGAAGCCTGAGACAGTGCCTGAGCTCCCACCCTTTGACCAGACGCCTAGGACACTGCCCTATTACCCAGAGCCTGTGCCTCTGCCCCCCCCAGAGAAGCCAACAGCCGGTGGGGGCGCTTAGGGTCTCTCGGGTGACACGGGGCAGTGGGCATGGGCCATCACTCCAGTCCACCACCAGCTCACTGCTTAGTGGTGGTCAGTGTTGGGATGAGAGGCCTCTTTCAAGCCCTGGGTTGGTGGTGGATATGGTGAAAACACTCTCGCAATACGCAGAGTTCAGGCAAATGTGGTGTGTGCAATGGGGTGGGAAGCAAAGGGACGGGGCCCTCCCCCACCTCTGGGTTTCTGTCTTAATAGTAGATGCTCCAAACCCCATATTGGAGCTGCAGCCTGTGCTGCCCTGCATGAAATTGCATGAAACTGTGCCATGGCATCTGATTCTCCTTCCCGTTCCCCTTCTGCCTCCTCCTCAGGGACAGGCCAGTTCGGCTCAAAGCTTCTTTGGAGAGGGCCCTTATGAGGCCCAGGCCTGGGGTCTGTTCTGTACCCTGTCCACCCTCTCCCTGGAGCTGAGGAAAACATTTACACTTATTTTTTTCCTTTTTTTTTTTTTTAGAAAATGTTTTGCAAAGGGATCCCTTATGTTTGCCAGATCCTGCCTTGGGTGGGGCACCCTAAAGCTGCCAACTCGGAGAGGCCGGAAGGGGGGACATTTTAGCTGGCTCTGGCCTGGATCCTCTGGCTTCCCTACAGCACAAAAGGGTTTCCTCCAACTTTTTTTCTTTTTCCAAAATCATCCTTCTAAGGAGTCCTTTTAGACATTTTCCCCAACTGTCCCCTCCTCCACGAAATTTTAATGCTATAGATATACTATCTATCTACATATGTATTGGGACTCTTCGGCACTACAAACTACTGGGATATCTAAATTCACCTCTCCCTTCAAGAATTAATTTCTACCCTCTTGGGGGCAACATTAATCCTGTTGAGAATCCTGCTCTAGCAGAAAGGACCCTCTGCCTTTGGTGTCTCTCAGCCTTGTCTCAGCAATCTAAAGTAACAATCCTGAGATTTTATGACTTTCCCTCTTTTCTACCTCTCCCCAAGTCTTGCCCCTCTTCTAACTTACTCTCTGAGCAGATCCTGGGTCTCTGAATGCCCTCTCCAGAGTCTTCTCTGGCTAGTCCCAGGCAGTAGTTGGGGACAGAGCATTAAGTCCAGAGAGTCTCCTGGGGTGCCTGGCTGGCTCAGTCAGTAGAGCCTGTGACTCTTGATCTCAGGGTCATGAGGTTGAGCCCCACATTGGGTATAGAACTTACTTAAAAAAAAAAAAAAAAAAGATTAAAGAAAAGAGAAAAAAGGAAAGAAAGGCTCCTACTTAAAGAGTCATATGACATTGTCCCTTCTCCCTGACAAATGTGAAGTGCCTGGCCAAGGACTAGGCACATAGTAGGTGCTCGATTAAATTATAATCATATTAAAATCTTCTTCCTAGACCAGAGGATCTTCAGTTTATAAAGCAGAGTTGGGCAGTGGAGCGGATGGGGCGGGAAGTTTCCCTGGGGCTCCTGAAACCCATCTTGGACTGGTGCCTTCCTGGGTTGGAGAACTGTGTATGCTTCGTGGAGGGGAGGGGAAGCTGTGCATGCTTTTGCTCAGACCTGGTCATTAAAGGTAACTCTGGAAACCGAGCCTGTTGGGAGTGGTGGTTTTCTTTAATAAAAGCGTGAAAACAGAACAAGCAGAGCCATCCCCTGAGGCCGCTCCTTTGGTGTAGGAGCTCTGCCAGGGCAGCAGGGGTGGGACAAGGGTGCCTGGCCATTGTGCCCAGGGTAGGGGGAGGTGCTTTGGAATTGTGTTGGTGGTTGTTGTAGCAACAGGCTGATGGGGTGGACCCAAAACAGCACTCCAAGCCTATGAGTCATAGGGGAAACCTGGCTTGGAAAGGGGGAGAAAAGAGAAAATCCATTAATGGAGGAAAAAAGCTAAAATCATAGCGGTATACCCTCTGCAGAGCCAGTCTACTGGATGTTGTCCAGGGAGTTAGGTCAAGTTATTTCTTCCCCCGTCCCCTGATCTTCCACCAAAGCAGCTCCTCTGGTGTAAGCTATCACTCTGGGGGGAACCTACAATGAATGGTGTTAATATATTTTCATATACCTTTCTGGACTGGGAGAGACACCTCCAAATCCAGGAATAAACCCCCTTCACTGGGATTGTTCCCTGATGTTGTATTTAAGACCTTTCAACAGGAATTAGAAAGATGGGATTGGCTACAAGAGGTCTGCGACTCTGTCCCTAGCCCCGTTCGCTTTCAAGCTCAGCAGGCAAACACCTTTAATTTAGGAAGCCAGAGGCCAGGAAAACCAGTCAGCTTAGCCTTTAAGGGATGGGGTGGGGCAGGGGTTGGGGGGTGGTAAGGGGATGCATCAGGGATGCTGGGGGTGGGGCAGGGAGACAATGTTGATTTGTTTTCCAGCAGCTGGGACTATTTCCTGACTATTCCCCGCCCATCACCCTAATCCTTCCCTAGCCTATCCACATTGTCTGAGTTTAGTGAAAGGAGGGGTTCTCTACTATCCTTTGGTGGAGCATGTGTGGGGTTTTAGTCAGAGAGGCTTTGAAGGAGATCAGAGCTGAAATTTTTTTGATACTGGGGTTGCAGGTAAATTCTGGGTGGAAAAGGATGAAGAGGTAGCAGAGAGCTTAGATCATGGAGAGTCCTAAAATGGTGTGTAAGAGAGAGGACTTGAGTAGCAGGCCGAAAGACTAAAAAGGAAACCCAAAGGGTACAACTGGAAATAAGGAATGTTAAGAGAGGTTGGGATCCTCCTACACTCAAGACAAGGAAAACAATCCCTTCAACTCCTCTGTGAGTGATAAGAGGGAGAGGGATGGACAGAATGACAGTACTAAGCCAGCTATGGCAGATGGAGACTACAAGTCCCAGCATGCCCTGAGCCCAGATCACCTTGCCTGCTGGGAGGTGTAGTTGAATAATGACAGCTTGAGGTGGCTTGATGCCCTGCTCGCAGTACTGGTGTCCAGTTTGGGAGAAAGGGTGGAGCCAGCATTCTGTCTTTGTCCTTGCTAATGCTATTGACAGGGAGGGAAGGAAGTTGGGAGGGGGTGTTCCTAGTTTTCAGTGTAAACCAGGAAACTCTGGGGGGATGTGGATGGGAGGGAAGAGGAAAGAGGTTGGGGGCTGGAGGAGGAATTTCTGTAGCATGTGGTGCTGAGATACCAAGTGGAAATGTGTGTGTGTGTGTGTTTATAAGAGGGGTCAATTCATGTTGCCTCATTTTTCTCAGATGGGTTTGTTTTTGTTTTGGTTTTTGGTTTTTTTACAATTCTGGGAAATTGTCTTCAGAAACCCCTTTGAAGCAGCGCCTGGGTGGCCCAGTGGGTTAAGCTTCTGCCTTCAACTCAGGTCATGATCTCAGCAGGGGGCCTGCTCCCCGCTCTCTCTCTCTGCCTGCTGCTCTGCCTACTTGTGATCTCTCTCTCTCTCTCTCTGTCAAATAAATAAATAAATAAATCTTAAAAAAGAAAGAAAAAGAAAACCCCTTGAAAACCTACTGTCTCCTTCTTCCTTCATCTTAAGTCCCTGAAGAGAGTGTGAGCCAAAGAGTTCTGGGTTTGTTTATGTTCTTGAATATGCCCCCTTGCCCTTTCTGTGCTCGACCTCCCTTACCTTCTTGTAGACGGTGATCCTGAGATTCTGAAATGTTGGCCCAGAGTCAGGACCTTGGAAAATCTTCCCAAAATGGAAGACAGTGCTGGTGCTAGGTACTCCCAGAGGCAAAGGGAAGAACTGGCTCTGAGCTCTAGATCTCAGGGACTCTGGGACCACCACCCCATTCCTGGCCTCTTAAACTCTGGTCTGGGGAGAAAAAAATCACAATGGAAAAAGTAATCCCTCCCTTCCATTCCAAGGCTGGGAAGTCAGAATCAGAATAATTGTCCATGTTGGGGAGAAAACATGCTCTTGGCTGCCCGCCAGCTTCTTCCTCTTTCCTCTCTCAATTTCTACGTGCGGGGTAATGACCGCTGCTGGAACAAATCAGTATGAGGAGGTCAAGGGTGGGGAGCATGGGCTCAGCACAGCTCTCCTTCCCTAAGACTGGTCCTGAACTTATGTGAAGTCTGGGAAACACTCTCTTTATCTTGCCTTCAAGTTACGGTACCTGGGGGTCGCCTGACTGGCTGTGAGCTCACTCCCCCCCTACCCCCCCTCCCCCTCAGCGACTTCTCAAAGCCCTTTGCATTTTTTGGTCTAGCTAGAGCAGTGTGCACCAGGGGGCGCTCTGCCCATTTCCAAAGTTAAACTGTGTTCCCTGAGTTAGGAGTAGTTTAACTAAGATGCGTGGACGCAGGATGTAGGACAGGTTTGGGGGGCTGCAGATATATTTAGCTCAAGTGCAATGACTGCACAAGCCGGAAGCTCCGTTCCCTCCTCGCCCTGTCTGTATAGTTACCATTCATTCAACACATAATTTACTGGGCGCCCACGCAGTGTCCAGCTCACGGACACTGGCACACCGACGAAGGAGTCGGGCGGATGTCATAGCTACCACGCACTCTCCTGAATCACCACCCACCCTCCTGCCCCGGGTTCGCCCAGCATCCCCCAGGTCCCCGCCCAGTCCTCGGCTCTGCCCCCTCACCTCTTCGGTCTGCTCTCCCTTCAGGACGAGGTGAAACTGCCGGCCAAAGTTAGCATCGGCAAGTCGCTGAAAGAGGCGGAGGCGCTGCCCGAGAAGGAGGGCGACGAGCTGGGCGAGGGCGAGCGGCCGGAGGAGGACGCGGCCGCGCTCGAGCTGTCGTCCGACGAGGCGGTGGAGGTGGAGGAGGTCATCGAGGAGTCGCGCGCCGAGCGCATCAAGCGCAGCGGCCTGCGGCGCGTGGACGACTTCAAGAAGGCCTTCTCCAAGGAGAAGATGGAGAAGACCAAGGTGCGCACCCGCGAGAACCTGGAGAAGACCCGCCTCAAGACCAAGGAGAACCTGGAGAAGACGCGGCACACGCTCGAGAAGCGCATGAACAAGCTGGGCACGCGCCTCGTTCCCGCCGAGCGGCGCGAGAAGCTCAAGACCTCGCGAGATAAGCTGCGCAAGTCCTTCACGCCTGACCACGTGGTGTACGCGCGCTCCAAGACGGCGGTCTACAAGGTGCCGCCCTTCACCTTCCACGTCAAGAAGATCCGCGAGGGTGAGGTGGAGGTGCTAAAGGCCACCGAAATGGTGGAGGTGGGCGCCGACGACGACGAGGGCGGCGCGGAGCGCGGCGAGGCGGCCGACCTGCTGCGCGGGAGCAGCCCCGACGTGCACACGCTGCTGGAGATCACCGAGGAGTCGGACGCCGTGCTGGTGGACAAGAGTGACAGCGACTGAGCGGACGCACGCGGGGCTCTGCCCGGGAGGCCGCGCCACCCTGCCCCGCCATTCCCCGCCCCCTCCCCATGCCTTTCCCTCTGGAACTTTCTCTTTCGCATTCTCTCTCGGCCCCACACTGGCTGAGATGTTTCTAAATTGACAACACCGCCCCTCAAGGAGCACCTCTCCAAGTCTTAACCGCTGTTAAGATCGGAGGGGGAGGCAGCCTCCACCATAGATCGCCCCAGTTTGGGCACAGTCTGGGTGGGAGTGGAGAGGGGAGTGATCTGTGTCGTGGTTGTCCAAGTCAGGGATCTTAAAGGAAATGGCCGTCGTTTCCATGGTTGCCCCACCCCACTTTGGGGTAGGCTGCCTTCCCCCCAACCTCCACCTCACACTTGTACCCAGCTGCTGTCATTCCTGCTCACTGAGCTCTTCTTTCTCATCCTGATCCCTGGAGGCTTGAAAGCCAAAACTACCATAAAAGGAAAGAGTGAATCCTGAAGAGGACCCTTGCCCACACGGGAGGCCCCACACTGGAAGGACTTAAAAGCAGCTTTCAGGAGAACCTCGGGCAGTTGGGGGAAGAGGGCAGAGTGAGCGTTACCCTGGAAAGAGAGGCTAGCACCATTGTATCTGTATAGGGTTCCAACAAGTAAGGCCGTAGCCAAGCAGAGCCCTTGGGAAGGAGGAGATGATGTAGGGAACATTTACAGTGTTTCTGCATCTGCAACAGCAGCACATGGCTCTGGCT